TTAATATGATCAAGTTCATCCATTTTTTTCTTAAACTAGTCAGAAATATCAACATCCTGTTTGAGCTTTTCACAATAAAAGTCCTGTTAAGAAACAAAGTTTCAGTTCACTCACTTTATTTTGAAACAGTTTGTCAGGAAGTTTGTGCAGACGCATCAAGTGAATTTTTTAGGAAATAAAAAAATTGTAAATAACAGCAAACAGAGCAGCGCAGATGGGAGGAGTCTGTGCTAAGTGGTGCAGATGGGAGGAGTCTGTGCGTACCTGCAGATGATGCTCTTCATCTGATTGTCCTTCTCCTCCTGCTGCCGTCTCAGTCGCTCCTCGCTGTCCTCCAGACGGTTCTTATACTCGAGCAGCAGCTTCTGCATCTGCTGCTCCTGAGCCAGCAGCCGCCGCTCGTACTCCTCCAGACGCCGACCGGAAACTCGCAGACGCTCCTTCAGCCGAGATATCTCCAGCTCGTACTGTGGACACAGGGGGGAGGGGGGAGGTCACAAGATCCGCCATCAGGATGTAAACAGACGCATCAACTCATCTCTTCAGGTGTAGATGATTCATGAAGCGTGAACTTCCTTCCGCTCTGTGATTGGTCGACTTCCACGGCTCCATCAAACATTTCAAACGTCATAAAAAAACAAAAGTTAAATCGATTACATGTTGTGTCTGGAAATAAAGATGGCGACAGAATAGGCCACAAACCTCTGTCAAAGATTTAAGTTAGTTCTTCTCACACTGATGTTTGTTCAAGTGTTCATGTTTCTGATCAGCTGACTGACTAACTAACCGGTTAACTAGCTAACTAGCTAACTAACTAACACACGAACCAGCTAACTAACTAACTAAGTAACTAACTAATTAACTAGCTAGCTAGCTAACTAACCAGATAAGTAACTAACAAGCTAACTAACTAGCTAAGTAGCTAGTTACTAACTTATTATATAACTTATTAGGACAGATGACACCCTGCTGGTGGAGGTCATCAATTACAACAGTTTGTCGACCTGTGATTGGTCAGTACCTTCTCGGTGCTCCGCCCCTCCTCTCTGCTCCTCTCCCCTCCTCCCTCCTCCTCTTCGTACTGGCCGTTGTTGAGGACCCAGGCCGCCGTCCTCTCCACTGGAGACATCGCCACCGCCACCGCATCCACCGGAGACGCCACCTGAAGCAACCCAGAGATATGATGTCATAATTAGCTGAGGGAACCAGAACGAAGCCCCGCCCCCCCATACCTGCCTCGGACACACAGGTAAACCTTCAAGACGTAAAATCATGTGACGGTAATATTTGATTTCCTGGGTTTTAGCCTCACCTGTGGCGGTTTGGTGGCACTTTTTGGAGGCGGAGCCATGTTCTCCACAGAGCAGGTTGACTGCTGATGGTTGACGTGGCTGACGGTGGGTGTCGGCTCAGTATTGGCGCTGCTGCTGCTGCGTAACGACGCACTGTGTGGGAGAGAGCGTGGCGTCCTGGCACCAACCCCTCCTCTGCTCTGCTGTTCCACCTTGACGATGTGGGCGGTGCCCGCCGTCGTGCTTTGACGAGGGATGGCAACTGCTGTGGCAGTGCCGGGCGGAAGGTCAGGCAGTGCGTGGCGGCGCGGCGTCGAACACTCCTCGCTCTGCGTGCTCCGCCTGCTGCCAAGCTCGTCCAGGCTGCTGTTGGACGGCACTCGACCTTTGACCCCCACCTGGCTGCCGTAGTCATCAGAGTTGCTGTGGCTGTTGTGGGAGCTCTCTGTGCTCAGGTTCTCTGAGCTGGAGTCCTGCCGCAGCGAGTGGGCGGAGCGTGTGGACAGGCTGTGGGCGGGGTTGCTCAGGTGGTAGACAGGGTTCTGGAAGGACAGTGGCTGCAGGCTACGCTGTTGGCTGACGGAGGGATGCAGCGGCCGCCTCACCTGTGGAGCGCTCTGTGGCTGGCCGTCTCTGGCCGACGCCTTAGGCTGGTGCGGCGCTGGCTGGGGGGTCAGGGGGTTGGAGTGGGGGTAGGTAAGTGGGGGTGGGCCGTGTCCGAGAGAGGCCTGGGAGCCGACCCTGCTAAGGCGGGGTGGGGCCTCGTGGTGCGGTGGGGGCCCTGCAGGGGCGTGCGGGCTCTGAGCGTCCTGCAGGTCGACCAGGGAGATGCTGCGTCCGTTTAGCAGCAGGTTGTCTCGCTCCTCCTGATCAGAGAAGCTGCTGTGGATTGAAGGATGCTGCTGAGCCAGCAGGGGGCGCTGACCTCGAACATGACCATCCATCAGATCACTGCACGGAGACTGAAGGCTGCGGACCTCACAGTGACTACACGCACGCACACACGCACGCACACACACACACACAGAGAAAATGTTTCCATGGATACAGTATTTTTATTTGAACCAGGTTAAAACACTAAAGTGAATCAAACATCGTTTTCTGACCTGAACCCTCAGATTAATCAATAATGGAGGATTGTGACCTCATCGACATGTTTACGTCTTAATCTGTGAACTTTCCCTTCAGAGCTCCTTCCCTCACCTGTTGGTGGGGTCCTCAAAGATTCGGTGTAACCCTGACGACAGGCTGCCGCTGATGTTGTGGGCGGAGCTGTGGTCCTGGAAACGCCGCAGCTGCTGCTGCACCGGCGTCGGGGCGGCAAGGCAGCGAGAGATATCTCCCAGAATCCTCGGCAGTGGGCCCAGCTTTGCTACGGTGGCCTGCAGGAAGGAATTTTCACCCTGGGGTCGGTGTGTGTGTGTGTGTGTGTGTGTGTGTGTGTGTGTGTGTGTGCGTGTGTGTGTTTAAATGGAAGCACCAGGATGCAGCGGTGTTGGGAAAATGGAACCACAATGGTGGCAAAGAAGAGTCGGCCAGAGAGGAGGGAGAGGAGAGGGGAGGGAAGGCAAACATGAGGGAAACGTAATGGAAACAAAAATCAAACCAACTAGAACAACATGCTGCTACTGAACAGAACCAGGATCAAACACAGCAGAGTCATGCTGGGGCGGAGCTCCGACAGGTGAGACAGGTGAGACACAGCCAGGGGGAGGGTCCAGGCAGGAGGGGGTTGGGCCATGCTGCTTTTATGAGGTTAAATGAAGTCAAGTGACCTCTGCTCCTGATGTTCCTCACATGTTCACATCACACACACAGAACCCATCGACCACTGACCAGCAACAGCCTGATGTGTCACCTCACATCTGACCGATGCTGTAGAGGAGGCGTGGCTCCTGTGACCTCAGCAGGTCACCTGACTTGCCCGAGTCGTGTTAATGGTTGATTTTATTTTTGTGCGTTCGCAGCAGTTTGAGTTTCCTCAGTGTGACACACACGTTTGTACTTCTATCTTAGTGAGGACAYTCATTGGCATAATGCATTCCCCAGCCCCCCACCCTGACCATCCAAACTAAACCCTAAACCCTTAACCTAAACCCTTAACCCAAAACCTTAACCCTTAACCTAAACCCTTAACCCTAAACCCTTAACCTAAACCCTTAACCCTTAACCTAAACCCAATTCTAACCCTAAAACCAAATCTTGATGCCCAAACCATTGAAGGGGGGGGGGGGTCACAAAGTGAGGGCCGGCCAAAAATGTCCTCACTCTGTATGTTAAAAGCCAAAACACACACACACACACACACACACACACACACACACACACACACACACACACACACACACACACACACTGTCTGGGTGTTGGTACCTTGTCGAGCTGTGACACCACCTCCCACAGCAGAGCGTGCAGGACTGACAGCTCGCGGCCGAGGTCGATGTAACCTTCGAAGCCCGGCGTGTTCGATAGAGTTTCCGGGTTAGAGATCTCTGACAGGAAACGCATCATCCCCGCCCACTCGTGCTCCAGAAAGTCGTTCATGAACGCCATGTACTCCTCTTTGTTTCCAAACCTGCAAGCAGACATTATTTATTTATCGTCTACTTTGGTCCATGTCCCATCAGCTAACATGGAGGAGGAGGAGGGTCTATGACCTATACTGCAGCCAGACACGGGGGTTTAGCCTTTGACGTGGACATGAAGCCATAACTTGACCTTTGACCCTGGCGGCTTGTTTTGTTCCCTCCTGTTCTTTGTTGCCCTCTACAGGTCACACACTGTACCTACACACTCCAGGGAGGTAACGCCCCCCCCACACTCGCACCCCACCAACAACCCATTGAGACATTTAAGACAATTTGAGAAATATACAATGATTTACTATCAAAACTATGAACAGTCATAACAAATCAAATATTATTATGTATACATTACAACATAAAACTACACTAATACTGATCAGGTATATTATTCTGCATGACTTCACGATACATTCATAGTATTATTAATTGACACATGTAAGGGAACACTGCACTCAGAGCTGTGTGTGGGTCAGGAAGTGACCGTGTCGACCTGCAGGTACTCACTTGGTGAAGTTGGCGAGGTTCTGGATGACTTTGGCGATGAGCGTGAGTGTGCGGGACGTCCGGTTGTCGGGATATTCCTGCATCAGGTTGAAGAGCGACGGCGACATGATGGCGGGGCAGAGGAAGCGCAGGAACAGCGAGGCACTGATCAAACGCTTGCTGATGTCCTGCTGGTGGCCGCGAGCGACACATTGCTGCTTCCACGAAGCGAAAACTTCCTTCAGCTCCCGAGGAAACACGCTGAGGAGACAGGAAGGAGAAAGACGTTCTTCTGCTGATTTACTACGATGAGAATCAGCTGTTTTACATTTTCTATAAATAAATCATGAAACTAAATATAAAACCAAACAATAACAATAATGATGAATGTTCCTGTTGTTCTCTCTCTATGAAACTAACGAACCCCTGAAAGCCTTTCATTAACACTTAATCTAAAAGAATGTGTTTGAGCAGACACGTGAGTGTGAGCTGACACTGTCGCACCAGTACGAGTTGATGATCTTGCAGAACGCCAGCTCGCAGCACATCTTCAGGTTACTCTGATGTTCAGCCAGATCACTGCCAGAGCAACGACTGGAATCAACCTCACAGTTCTCGTCCGACTCGTACAGAGCTTTAATGAATTCGCCTGAGGACGGAGAGAGAGAGAGACATAGAGACAGACAGACAGACAGAGAGAGAGAGAGAGAGAGACATAGAGACAGACAGACAGACAGAGAGAGACAGAGACAGACAGACAGACAGAGAGAGACATAGAGACAGACAGAGAGAGACATAGAGACAGAGAGACATAGAGACAGAGAGAGACAGTCAGAGAGAGAATTTGAGACATCATTCACATCTAACATGTTCCACCAAACTTCAGCCTGACTGACGCTGCTGCTGATGAAGATGAGGAAGAAGAAGATGATGAAGATAAAACAATAAATGTACAAAAATAACTTCCTGTCAAAATAAAAGACTGAACCTGGAGACAGCAGCAGCGGACTCGTTACCTGGCGCTCCACAGGAAGTGAAGATCTATTCTCAGACACGGTGATAAAAATAAATGTAACGACGTGTTTGAAGTCTCTGACTTTTCTTCTTCTCTTCATGCAGCTGACAACGTTCACTCCTTCGTCTGAACTATTTGAAGACACTTCTGACTGAAGATGATGAAGATGATGCAGCAGTCTGATATAAATCTGCTTACGTTCTCTTTATTTAGTCTCTCGGGTCGAGCTGCAGCTTCATATGTGAACATATAAAGTCAGAGACGTCAACTACAACTCCCAGGGTGCATTTCACCAACAGACAGCTTATCACAGCCCTTTGCCTCCAGATCGGTCCTGGATCTGGATCCCGTTCAGGACTCTCTGAACCAGATCGTGTCCATCAGTGGAATCTCTGTGATCGAGGTCGTGATGTTGACGAGAGCGTCACACAACAAAGCTGACAGGTCACATGGTCACCAGCTGGTGTTTCTGTTATTACACATGTGTATAACTTTAAAGTGTCACGTTCGGTCCAATCAGCTGTTTAACTCTGATCCTGGATCAGGTTCTGTCTCTTCTCCATGGCAACAGCATATTTAGAGATAATATGTGAAACAGGAAAAAAACTGTTAC